TTTTGGAAGAGGAGAAAAAGGAGAAGTAGTTTTTTTTTGACAGAGCTCATTATCTTCTCTGAAGGTGTTTGAGGCTTTAAAAAGCAGCAGGAGCAGCGGAGAGAAGAGTAGAGAGGAGAGGAGTTAGATATGGAATATCCAGAGAAGCTGGAAATTCGTGATGTGATGAGTGTTATACTGTGGGGATCCGTTTCTTAATTATTCCGCTAGGACAGTCATTTTCCCTCTATTCCCCAGCTATGAAACACCCTCCATATGGCACCTTTGGCAAAGGCCATTTTTCTACTCCTCAACAGGCAGTCATCAGGGGTGAGCCTGCATGGCCATCTGAAATGTGCTGACACCTTGCTTTTTGGAACAGTTAGTGGGTTAGAGGTAATGAGAGGAGTGAAGTCGAGGGACTGGTGTATGCAGAATAAATTTCCCTTTTTCTTTTTTATTGCAACAGATGCTCCTTTCCATACTCTTAATCATATACTGTAACGTAATATTAGTCATCAGACACCCTCTCTGGGGAATAAGGGGGTGCTATTATAGTGAAGTGATGGAAAAGAAAAAAGGGTTTTGGATGCCATGCTGCAGTCCGTTTTGTGGTGTGGGGCCGATGCCAGACATCCCTCTCTCTCTCTTTCTGATACTGCTACTCAGCACTGCAGCACTGTAGCAACAGGATGGGTCTCTCCCTTAATGTGTGTGTGTGGGAGAGACAGAGGGAGACAAATGCGGGAGGGGAGTCACAGAAAATGAAAATGAAGTCACAGCATGTCAGGGCAGCAGCAACATGCAGCGCCGATATTGAGATAACAAGCATGTTGCCATGGGAGAGAAAACTGTAAAGGAACAAAGCGGCTCGGACACCGCTCAGAAGATTTTCGCATCCATTTGTTTTAAGATGGTACAGAAAAGGGGTGGCATCCTGCCAGTGATGAGCTCTTGTCTGTGTGTGTGTGTGTGTGTGTGTGTGTGTGTGTGTGTGTGTGTGTGTGTGTGTGTGTGTGTGTGTGTGTGAAAGAGAGAGAGAGAAAGTCACTTCATCAGATGTGTCTTACAAAGTGAGGACAGAACATTTCCCTGATGTCCTACACTTAATATTGGAAGCAAACCTGTAGAAATTGATTGATTGAAAATGATTATTATTCTGTTGGGGAAAGGATGAGTAATGCTTAACTCTAGTGTGTGGCTGAATGTGTGCACTGTAGCTTTACTCCTGCTGCAATATACTCAGACCTTTGCAGGAATCTAAGAATCTGACTCACCTTGTTACATACGGATATACATAACAGATCATATGCATATTGTATATGGACTCACAGCACATTACTATTGTTGCAAAGACCTACTGTAAACAGAATGTATATGCCACTTACTCAACAATCTAAAAGCTAGCCTATATAGTCCAAAGTCCTGAATAATAAATTACATCCACCACAAAAGTGCTCCTCCTGCTCAACTGAATTAAGTATGATTGATCCACACATTGCCTCTGGAACTATAAGAAACACTCAAACACCATCCCTGTCAATTGAGTCTCTACAATAGCAGCGCGGGCAGTGTAAAATAAGATTGTGTATAGGTGGGGGTTGTTGCTGGATAAGCACTGAGTAGCACTTATAAAAGGTAAAGGCCATTAAAGCGTGAACTGGATGCATTGAATGGGAAGCCGCTCTCTGACATCACGCCGCCAAAGAGCGATGGCTAAATTAAACTTTCATCCGACAAATATTCATGTGCGTTTAATGATCCCGAATCACTTCATTCCACATGAATTATAAATATTAATGAACAGGAGGGAAGGGCAGTGTGTTTTCTATAGGTTTGGAGCCTAAAGCAGTGGTGGATGGTGGTGAAGGAGAAGGATGTGTCTCGCCACCAGTCAATCATGACACAGTCCCACCAAACCCCGGAGGCCAGAGGTCATAATTGGAAGTGAGCATACAGTGTGTGTGTGTGTGTGTGTGTGTGTGTGTGTGTGTGTGTGTGTGTGTGTGTGTGTGTGTGTGTGTGTGTGTGTGTGTATGTAGCCTCATTACCGTAGCCTTGTGTGGAAGCCATAAGATTTCACCCAGATCTGACCAGAGCAGGGGTGGCGAGTGGTGGCCTATTTCTGGGGTCCTGCCCTGTCATGTCTTCCCTCAATGAATGCTCAATGGCTACCATCTTGCCCTTGAGCACTGCTCCTATTTTCTTTTTCATCCTCTATTAATTAAAACAATGCGGCCAAGTCTTGTGTGCAGGCATCCAAAAACAGAAACTGACGCACTCATGTTAATGACAGTGAGTGTAGGATGTGATTTCCCGCTTTTTCATATTTAGCTCCAAAATGGTTTCTGTAATTGCTATAAATTAGTACAATGGTTTTCTGCTTGAGCACTACTTGTTTCCAGACAGATTAAAAGGCATAACAGTGCTCTGCTTGTCAGTGTCTTGGATCATAAAGTGAAAGTCAGGCAATTCTGTGAGTTTCTACAGTACATTAAACTTGAACAGCTGAATGCGCTATGTGCTATGGAAAATAATGAGTACTCAAAAATATATAGATATCTTAGTGACGTATGATGTGAAGCACTATTCAATTATTAGAGTTTAACATGGGAACTCTCAGTCAACCGTACAGTTATTGAATGTTCTGGTACTCGCATGGACAGCAAAAGCCTTATGTTATCCTAATATTCCTGATGATTTCCAATATAAGCTCATGTACCGTAAATATAAATTGTAATTCTGTTCTGTGGACCGCTTACTTACAAATTCTCTGCTTAAATGGGAAAATAAAAAATACTCTGGTTATAGTTCCATGGACAACAATACCAACTCCCTAACAAGCCATTTAGAACCCTTTAATGTTGTGAGAAACCTGAAAGTGGGCTACCGCCTAAAAGAGAAACATGAAAAGAGGATATTCCTATGACAATCGAATCCAATTCCCTTCTCTGCATAAAAAAAACTCTTTTAAAATTCCATTTTTTTTCCTTCCACAGTGCATAGCAACTGTGTGACATCCCCACAGAGACCAAGCCCCCACTATTGCAACACCAGCATAACCAGGATCATTGGATCAATGCTGCCATCTACTGCTGCTTTTCAGACTCTTCAGCATGGGTTAGTGTACAGTCTTCAGAGTAGTGAATGGCTATTGTTAAGATATAGAGATTTTTGATTTGGATTTAGTTCTGTTTAGAAATCAAAAGCAAAATGTATTTATTTAATAATAATAAGACAACAATACATGGCGTTGTATGTGGGCAGTAAAGAGGGTTTTACAGAATCAGCAGGTCTGCCTGTTTTGTCTTCCAATTCACTTAGCCCTTTCCCCAACTTCCACACTGTATACTTTGTCCTGTGGAACAGCACTTACATAGTGCTCTCCTGAATTCCTTCCAATGGTTATAAAAAAGGGAGGAGGAAATACATCAGGGAGATGTATGGGGTAATGGCAATGTAGGGACCCAAAATAGATTCAAGGGCTTTAGTCATCAAATAGTATACTGCACAGGTGTGGTTTTATGGTTTAGGCTTTTTTACTGCTTCCATTGCAACCTTGCAGCATTTTAAATCATAAGCATTTTGTGGGAAAACGCCAATACATCCAATATGTCCAGTGTTAACAACTATGCACAACAGCAAAGGTCCCACAAGACATGATGACAGCCAAGATTTTGGTGTTAAATTGCAGTGTTTATTGCCATGTGAGTAATATAAGTGATGGAAACGGCACCTTGCGTGGAATAAATATGTCATAGAGACTGCAAGGTGTAGATTATTTTATAATGGCTATGGCATCCAGTCCACTCCGGTCTTTCATAAATTAAACAGCAAGAAAAGTAAAAGAGGAGCAGTCTTGAAATTGTCGCTGATGTGCCGGCCCCGTTCCTCTTATAGCTTTACCAGGCCAGAATCTGTGAGGATGTTTCCCAGGCATGAAGGAGAAAATCATTACAGTTTAAATTGATCTAATTAATATGGAGGACGGACACAGAGGCCCATCTGATTAGGGTGGAAGTCAAGCCTCTCAGGGTGCTCGCTTGACCTCCACACTCAATGATGTCGCCAGCACCAGAAGCACTTGGTTCCAAGCGCTTGAGTCACTGACCCAATCACTGTGAGCCATAGGGTAAGAAAAAAAACAGAAAAGCTTATCTTTGTACAACAGCCAGGCAGTCAAAGAAACGGAATAAGCCACATAAGAGAAGACTGACTTTATATTAGCTAAGGTAAGAGTTAGAAAATTGGTTTGACTTAAAACAGACGTTAGTGGAAAGTATGGGTTACACATAAAAAAGGACATAAAAACATTAAACAAGGTAATCCTACAGTCCATAGAACAGGTGAAAATTGGGCCGTGCTGCTCCTTCTCAAGAAAGAAGCATAATGAAAATGAGAAAGCAGAACGGAGGGAATCACCAATTCATCAATTTGCCAGTAAGCTGAAAATCATCTGCAACAATTTTGATAAACGATTGGGCTAATGGTTTGAGTCATTTACCCAGAAATAATTCCATTCTCTGGTTCAGAGAATCAGCTTCTCAAATATGATGATGTTCTGCAATTTCCTCTTTATTGTAGGTTATCTTTGTGCATCTTTTAGACTGTTAGTTAAAACCAGCAGAGAAAACATGACATTTTCAAATGTCAGCTTGGATTCTGGACAACTGTGATGGCACTTTTTCCAACGTTTTATAGATTAAACCAACTGTTCCATCTAAATCATCAGTAGATCATCATCTAAAAATGAACTAAGAGATGAATTGTTAATGAGATGATAATGTGCACACCTAGAAGCTTAATGATGAAAATAATAAGTTGCCATGTCAAACTGTAGATTGTAGACATTTCCAGAAATCTTCGTCACCATATATGAAACCTTTCATGTATCACAACATAACAAACAGCCTGTCCAATGTTTCTATCGTTGCGGTTTAACCACAGGCCCGATTCTGGAAGCAAAGCTAAGTAGGTGTCGTAAAGTAGGTGCTGTTCACCACGACGGCAGGTTACCGGGATTGCAATTTACGACAGCAGAGGCCTTCCGTTTAAATTTCGCAGCGCGTTTGATTTCCGCTACACATTATAGCATCCACACCTCCTGGAGAGAGCCAGCATCCGCTCACATAGGTTACAATGGGAATAGAGGATGAAACGGACCGGACGCTCTTCATAAGAAATTTAGACTCGAGAGTGACGGAGGAGCTTTTATTCGAGCTGTTTGTTCAGGTGATGTTGCTGCTAACGTTAGCTGTATGGATAGCATAGCATAGCATAGCTAACAAATCGAAAGCGTGTTAGTTGAAATGACCTAAACATGTAAAGTCTTCGAGTAATGGACAGTCTCACAATAAGTGTTATGCCCCCACTGTGTGTTGTGCACAGGCGGTGGGCAGTTTTTAAGAAGTGTTTTTGACGCATGTAGGGCAGCTAACGCTAGCTAGGTGCCGTTAGCTTTTGGCTGGTTGTTGTGTGGCTGTCAACATGGACTGACTTTTGTTTTTGCAGGCAGGACCTCTCATCAAAACCAAAATTCCCAAAGACGCGGATGGGAAACAGAAAACATTTGGTTTTGCCGTTTACAAACACGAGGTGTCGGCGCCGTACGCCATGCAGCTAATCAACGGGACGTCGCTGTATGGGAGAGCCCTTCATGTGCAGTTCAGATCGGGTGGGTTTACTTTTGTTTTTGCACTGGTCGACGTTTCTGACAACTTGTCGTGAGGGTTTCTGTTCTGGTTCAAGACATGTATTTTAGGTTGTCTGGTAAATTGGAAGAGAAAAGGACAATTATCAAGTCAAAGTATTATTAATAATTAAGTAGAGGTGCCCTGTTCAACATTAAATCAAATATCACGTGTGACTTAATGCGTTAATTTACACAGTTAAACAACAAATGTGTTTAAAATCAGGCAGTGGTGGACTGCTGCTACACATGTTACAACCAGATATTATTAAAAACCATCAACTGGTAAAAAAAAAGATTAAACTGTCAAAATTATAGTGTTGCCCCCTTTCGTAGTGGTATACAGGCTTTATGTGTTGTAGTATTTGTGGTGGGAAAGACGTTTTGCTTTGTTTATTTTAATCCGTTTCTTATTGTTAGATTCTGCTGTTCTCGGGTTTGTCGGTTCAGTGTTTGAACTACACTGCAGACTAACTAGAGACCATATTCACACTTTGTTTTAGAGAGAGTGACAACTGACTGAACTGGTCCAACACAAGTCGAATACACATTGTTAGGTCTGCGTGACAGAAATGAGAAGTCTAGTCCTGCATCGCCTCCACATTTGTAGCCATGGTTACACTTTCCCCTTTGTGGAGATACCAATAACGATACACTACAAAACAGCCAAACTATACTGACCTGACTGAAGTGACTTATTGACCTGGCTACTGCTATATTAAAAACAAAAAAAAAAACATCTGTATCGGCTAATGTGCAATTGGGGTAAGTGGTAAAAATATGATTGGGGCATCCCTAGTTGTTGGGACCAAGATGGTATAGACTACTGTATCATCTGGTGAGTGAATAGTAGAAACATGGTAGGAAATTACACTAGTTATCATTTTCTCATGTTGCCATAATGTGTTTTTACTGTTTTGTCCTTACTAATAAACAGTGTTTTGTTCCCTTTGCCCCCTCATAGGCAGCAGTCATAGCAGCAGTCCAGGGAACTCACAGAACTCAAGTCCTGCAAATACCCCAAATCCCCATGGTCAGAGGTAAGAATGTCTCTTCAACAACTTGCATCAGTAACATTACAGCAGCTACTGGCTCTTCTCTACCTCCCAGCCTCAATCTGGACAGACCACTGTGTCCTGCTAGCTATGCAGATACAGCTCTGGCTATAGTGGTTCTTGGGTGCATCTTAAAATGCAAAATAAAATAAAATTACCAAATGTCTTGGAAGCCAACCAGAGTCTGCTGATCGGTGCAATATATTACAGCATTAGTATGTGGTAGTGTAATATCAGTAATGATAAATTCACTCCTAATTTGCTGGGCTGTGAATGCAGCCTTTCAGTAACCTAGTTTGTTTAGTAGTTTATAATTTGGAGGCACTACTGTATGTTTGTAAATGGTACCACACTTTCTGTGTGTGTTGAACACATTCCCGAAGATGCTTCCTCTTTATTGAATATTACTTGGAAGTGCATTTGTTTCATGCTTTTGGCAGTGCACGGGTGCACAAAAATTGGAGCACTGGCAAAAGATGTTGCATGAAATAGGATTGGACTGTTCTGTATTTGCACATAAAGAGGTGTGCAATCCTTTCCATGTTTCATGCCAAATTTCATGCAGCAGTGCCTGTGTAAGGCATTTGCTGAAAAAGTATTGACCCTAGAGTTAAATTAGACAGTATCAGTCCAATGTAATGTAGTCTTTCATACTGTGTTGCTTAAATATTTCAATTTGTTGTACTAGAATTATACTTAATAGAAGAGAATAACTTTCTTGTTCAATGCATGTACCTTTGTCTACATGTATCATTTAGAACAAATTGTAAATAGGAATTTTGTTATTGATGGTAAACAATTATGTAACTGACTCCCTTGGTAGTCAAAAAACACAAGATTTTTATTTAATTTACTGTCTAAAGAAGATTAAACATTTTTAAAAAGCGCTCTGCAGTGACAACACCAAGGGACATTCAACTTTACCCCATCTTTATGGTATCACTAACCTGGTAACCAGGGTAGATCATTATATCCTTTGCTACACGGTAGAGGTGTGTCAATGCAGTCGGCTCTATTTTCATTACAAGGCTGTGTTCAGTTTTACTTACTATGTTTTCAACAGCATTTAGCCAAATACAATGTCACTACTTTTTTCTATTTTTTGTTTTTCAGTGTAAAGTGCAAAAATGATCTCCTACATAATAAAATCACTTTGCTATACAATAGGGCTGCATAATTAAACTGTTATTGTATTTTTTATAAAAGGAAAAAAATGTGACAAAACAGCATTATTATACAGTACTGAAGAGATGCCTGGGCCTACAAATCTTGTTTGCTTGCTACCGACCAGGAGCAGAGTGTAGCTAGTCATTGCCTTGTTAGTCCATCACTTCTGATCAGGAAAACAAATGTATGAATTGAAAGCCTTAATTAGATGGTAATGATGATTGGTATGGCTGCCAAGCCCCTCTGTGCTGTTGTCATTGTCACTAATTTCCACTGCAGGCTTGGGGACAGTTGAGTGAGTAGCTAGTATTTTAAAAATAATTTCTTGTGGAATAAAATGGCTTAAGTTCACTTATGAACAATCCACTTATTGCAACATTATTTGCTTGAAATTCCAGTCCCAGTAAGACTTGGCTTCCTAAAGGTGTTGATAGACTGTTAATCAGATTTTCCATTGCATATGTTTGCACTATTCTCTTACCAATGAAAAACATTTTTGTTCCTTGGATACAGTGAAGACAAAAATTATCTTGATAAATGTCCGCGGTTAATACAGCACTGGTAATATCTAGCTCATGTGGCTAGATGAATTAATTATGTGGTATTAATTAATCTTAATTTTATGACGTTATCACTCCAAGTGCATTATTCTGGAATTTTCAGTGGCGCAACGTGGAAACTGGTTTGTCATCAAAGAGACAGATCATAAGTCTGGTGTTTTTATAGAATAAGAAATATCTGCTGCCTTCCTTTGGAAACACAACCCTGCTCATTCACTGGAGCTGATCCAGTCTCATCTGTGCCACACAGACGGGCACGGAACAGCAGCCTTCTGTGTTCATTATGCTATTACTCGTGTGTATCCAATCAGATAGTGTTGTGGGCAGGACACTGAGCCAGAGTGTTGACTGCAGACAGAGGGCAGCGACTGCATCACAGCCAAAGCAGTACATTTTAAAATGAATTTATCTGCGATCAGATTAAAAAAGGAGGGGAAAAAAATTTAAGCGATACCTGTAAAATGCTGAATATTAATCCAATAATCTGCCAGATTGCCCCTTAATTTGCAGGTTCTTCCAATGTACATCCTGTTTGATAGAGGGATGTGCCATGCTTGAAAAATGCAAATGTGAATGTTTGTCTGCCCGTATTAACAGGTTCTTTTTATAGAAATGTTTGACCATGGATCTTTCATGGTGGTAATTGTGTGGTTGGATCACATGTATCAAAACAATATGAAAGTATAGTGTGTATAGTGTCATTTTTCACAAATATTCCCATATGTATTAGTGCTTTTGGTTTATTTCCTGTTTATGAATCTTAGCCCTTATTTTCCCAATGGCCCCCTCCCTCTCTGCACCTGACATTATGTAGACTTGTTGCTCTTGCCTTTTTATGAAGAGACAATATTTGACAATGGTTTAACTTCTTCTTACAGGACCCCGATCCAGTTCAGTTCTCCACCATATACTCCTCCACCCCAAATGCAGAGGTCGTTTTCATCTCCCGATAACCTGCAGAAGAATGTCATGGTAACCCTTTTAATACTTTTATAATAACCCAGCACTGCAGTCATGACAGAATGTCTCTATTTAGGATGTGAGGTATAAAGACCTGCTCTTGTCTTATTTTTAGTTATAAAGTGCCTCTGTTCCTTAGCAACAAATGAAGAAATGTGTACAGTGTATAATTTAACAGCAGCAGAAACGAGCTGCGTGACTTCTGTCAACCGTATAAAACACAGGTCCTGTTATCTGTCTTTTCCTTTCATCCGTAGATGAACAACATGATGTGGCAGCTCCACATGCAGCAGCATGACCAGTTGAATGGTGGCTTTTCCAAGCCTCTGCAGAGGCAGTCGCCTGCTGGTGGAAATTCTGGCAGAGGTGGCTCAAGGCAACACGATAACGCCCCCTATCGGCATCAGCCGTCACAGGTGAACAGCGGTGGCAGAAATCCACGCTACACAGATGAACCAAGTTCCGGTTCATCTGCACGTCATCAGCAACAGGGCCACAGTCGGGACAACTATCACCATCAGAACGACAGGAGTGGCAACCGTCACCATGACGGCAGAGGTGGCAGCAGGCATCATGACAACAGGGGCAGCCGAGGCCACCAAGATAGTAGATGGCGACGGTACTGAGACACGTAAAGGATTTCTTTAAAGACTTTAACTCTTCACAAATTTGTAAAGAGCTTTCTAAAAAAAAAAAAGAAAAGATCATGTATTATGTTGACAAATTCACATGTATACTCAGGTTGTTTGTACATGATCCTACCAGTTTGGAGATTTAATATCTTATGCCTTAGAGCCATTTTTGTTTACTTTTAAGGCGTTTTTAAATTTGTACACTATCATGTGAGCTTTTCCTCACAGATGTTTTTGAGGGGAAGAACTGTATTGTCATGAGAGCAAGGAAAAAAAATATCAAGTCAATTTGAAAGATGAAGGGAGGGGAAAAAAACAAGTATTTCCAAAAAAAAAAAATTGATATTGGCAAGTTTTGAAATATGCAAATAGTTTTAAATGGTGCTCTTAGAAATTCTTCAGGTACTTTGCAAAAAAGAACAAATTTTCAGCTAAAGAATCCACCAGCACCACTTTTACTGGAACAGGGCACCATCCTTTCTTAATGTAGGATTTGTTGACCTTGCTCTTTATGAAAATGGGCTTTATTTTATTTTTTTATTCTGAGTGTGTAATACAAACTGTTTTAAAATGAACGTTTTCATTATTATAAAGCTCCTTTTGATTTGATTGATGCGTTGTCTTTCATCTGGCCACAGCACAAATGCCTGGGTCTTGGCTGCTCTTCAGATATGCTATTTACAGCTCTTTGTGTATGTGACTAAGTGAGCTATTGTATGTTGATGCTACATGCCGTTACACATGCACACACTGGCCTTATCTGCACCTATAAATGGCCCACGTGTAACTAATAGGCTTGTGCAGTGGGTTATGAAGTAATCTACAGGTGGCGCCACACATCCTTTTATTGAATCAATTAAGATGTTAAATATAACTGAGCCACATGATCAGCTCCTGCATCTGACCTTTCTATTTAGGATACTTTCAAGTCTTTACATGGATTTGACACCCAACCCCGTTCACTTTACAGCATGCAATTATGTTTCGGTTTATCTCTTGTTCACCAGAGTTGAACACAGCGATATCTGGTTCTCTTTTATCAGAAGAGTCTTAGCACCAATTAGTAAATGGCGCAGGTTTCTGTCAACTTGCAGATGAGAATAAAGTGCGCTATTGTCCCGTCCCAGAATTAGCAGCACTTTGATCCTTCCCACCTCGTGTTGATCAGCCTCTCAGCATCGATACATCGGTGTGTTACTGCTCGGGCTCGCCTACAACAAAGTGATGATCAAATCCCTTAATGTCCGAGTGGAGGTCATAATCTACCCTTCCGAAAGTGCTTATGCCACTAACAGCAGCCCCCCGGCGTTGTATCGACAACCGTAACCCCCCCCCAATAAAACTCCCAGTGTCCAAAAGTGGAGGTGCATTTGCACCCACCGCACTAAGCTCTGTGTCTTGCCTGTAATCTGCCTCGTGTCAGATTGCATCCTGATGCTCCCAGATCGCTCTAATAGAGAGTATCCTCTGCTCGGTGTCAGTACTAGGAAGGCCCTTATTACGCTTCTGGCTGTGGCATAACTCTTTTAATTGGTTGATCTGCCTGGCGTCTCCAGCCCTGGAGCGGGCGGATTAGAGAGGCCGCTCGGTAGCCGCTGCTGTGTGGACTTATATAGAAGCGTGTCTCCTGAAATGATCCACTTCCAAACACCCAGAGAGACACTCCCTTTCTCGCAGTCCTGCAACTCAAACCACAAGTGTCAAGATGCCTGCAGCCGTGATTCCTCGGATCTTGGCACCCCGTCAGGTTGTTGGGTTCATGGGTGCCACAGTAGGTCTGACTTAACCGGCCGTAGTCTTTGTCCTTCCATGCAATTTAAGCCTCCTTTAAAAGAGGTGAAAAATGACCATATATAGTAGAAAGCAATACATGCCATTAAACAGGCTACATGAATACACGTTCTTCAGTAAAAACCGAGCAGAAAATCAAGATCAAATAATGAGAGTAAGATTTACAGTACAGCTATCAAATGAGGACAGTTAGTTTTTTTTAATGAATTCTAGTTTATAATTATACAGGTTAGGCTCCATTTTAACATCCTATTATTTTCTCTCTCCACCCGAAGTAGTGTAAAATGTGCTCCACAGCAGTTGTTCTCATCTGCCCCTCTTTGATCAAGTCATCAAACCTCTGAAAAGAACCCGAGCTTTCCCATGCAGAGCTCCCATATTTCCTCCTGATAATCCTCCGCTCTTTGAACACGGCGGCGGCTCCGGAGGCTCCGCAGCCGCCAGCGAGTTCACTTTATTTCCAATTCTTGCGATGCAAGTCGCCCCCCCCCCTCAGGACACTGACATTATAGGCTACTTGCGACCCTAACCTGCACCGGCTTCCCTCAGTGATGATTCGCCTTAAAATGTTAGTTCAATTACAACCGTTTAAAATAGAGAAATGTGCCAGGCTCTTTTTATTACACCCTCTACTGAGTCTCTCACACAAATGTCCAATCTCCCAAATCTGCATTATCTAAAAGACAATATAAATAAAACATAATTTTGCACTAGCCTACTATAGGCTAAACAGCGTCAAAAGGCAAAATATAGCAAAATAAAACGATGGTAAATTAACAAATGGTTAGGGGAGAAGCATGTGCAGAGATCCAGCCTGTCCGAGGGGAATTGAAGGTGCCGGTATGTGAGGTATTTCCTCACATTAATGTCAGACTCATCAGCTCGCAGCCTGTTTGATCTGACTGACAAATAATAGGCCTTGTTTTCTTTTTCATTTTCTTTTTATCGTTGAATCAAACTTATTCTGTGCCAACTTGTGAAAAAGGAATGACAAGTGCCTTACCCATTCAGTATTCCGCGGTTTTTTAATTGAGGGATGTTGTAAGACAATTATGTGTTTTATTCGGCGTGCCTTAATTCATGCCATGTGCCCGCGCCCGTTCATTATTATTAAATTATAACTGCGTCTGTTTGTTTGTTGGCAAATCTGTAAAGAGAATGACATTGCTGACTGGCCTTTAACCGCAGTTCCGCCTGATTAGCTACTTTTTGCTCCTGGAGCCTCTAAATTTTGTTTTTGTGTCTTGCGTTTTTCTTGTACAAGAAATGAACTGTTTCAACAAGAAATTATATATTGTTTCGTCAATTAAGTATTAATATTATTATTATTATTATTGTTATTATTATTGGCCAATTATTATTACCCTATTATTATTATTATTAGTATTATATTTAATAAGCCACTAACACTACTACAATTTTAAAATATGATATCAAAACAGTTTAAACAGTTTAATCTATCATTCTTAGTCCTTAACCGACAAAACTGGCGCAAGTCTTCAAAGTTGGTGTAGGAGTTTCTACTCTCGACACAGGACACAGTCCTTTAGATATGACTATGGGTTTAAGAATAAGAACGAAGTATCAAACTCGTTACCCCAGCTGCTTTAACTCTGTATATTGGTATATGGAACAGGCTTTTTCAGTTGGAGTCTAAAGTGAAAAATATCGAATGGATTAGATTGTGTAATGTCTAAAGCAAGCTTAGAATAAAATAGGTTAAATTAAATGAATAAAAAAAAAAATAGACATGGATTTATCAATAGCAAAATTAATACACTGATTAAGACAAATGATTACACTCAAATTAACGTCAAGTCTCGACGTTTGTAACTAAGAAATGGCACTATGTTAGTACCTCAGAAGAGTTACAGAGGTCTTTTGGTTTTATCTGAAACTTTGATAATAATACTACACTTAGCATATATATTTGTATTGGTTGTATCAGTTTTTATTCTGAAAATAATTGATATTGACGAAAAATACAACTTTTAGAGTCGAATTGAAAAGTTGTAATTCTGTAAAAAGAAAGTTTTTTGGTGGTGGTGGGGGGGTGTTTGGGAGGTGGCCATATAGTACATGAGTGTGTTTGTAAAAGAGAGAGAGAGAGAGAGCGAGAGAGCGAGGGAGAGAGATGTGTTCAGGGATGGTTTATATAGCAGTGGGTGTGAGCACACATCCCAGTCAGTTCATTACCAGTGTGGCGCTCTGCGCAGCTCAAGTTGAAGGCTACTGATCTTCACCACGACACTTCAGGGAAAGCTAAACTGCATTTTTGAAATACAAACAATGAGTTATTTAAACGCATGAACTCAAGCAGTCGCATTTAACACACTGCTCAACCTGCAGAACCTTAGATATTAGCGAACAAACTTATTGTTCAGCGAAGACAGCGCGCGGCGCACAGGGACAGATCATGCACTGTCAAGCCGAGTTGAGGCTCTCCTCCCCCGGGCAGCTGAAGGCTGCCAGGCGGCGCTACAAGACTTTCATGATTGACGAGATCCTCTCAAAGGAGACTTGTGATTATTTTGAGAAACTTTCTCTCTACTCGGTGTGCCCTTCGCTCATTGTACGACCGAAGCCTCTTCATTCGTGTTCGGGTAAGCAGCCTCTGTTACTTCTTTCTTTCTTTCTTTCTTTCTTTTTCTTTTGACTAATTATGAAAGAAGCAAATTGAATTTAGCCTAATATCTAAAAAAGTAACTGAAAGGCATTTATGACCATTTGCATATATTTTGGGAAAATGACACTTGTTGTTGTGACACTTTTACGCATAAGATCAATTTCATTATCAATATACTTTTAATTTGAATTTGAAACTTGAGGATATATTTTAATTGTGCATGGGTCAGGAAATGTGGATTTACCGTGAAAAAAGTTTATATCCTATATCAGACGGGTGAATTACACGTCTGCACCGTGTTGTCGGTTGTGTTGGTGTAATGAACATTTGTGTAGTGCCATAAAGTTGTAATTAGTTTCTTTAAACCATACCCCCCCGTCCATACAACTGCGCACATAGGTATATTGATATTTGTGATGATTACGAAGCATCCTTAATATATTACTTACATGTTTGAAGTTTTTTTTAGTAAATTAATCAAAATTAATTTATGCATCTTTCCTCCTTAAGTTGCACCCCTGACTTCACCTTCCTAACTCTGTGCTTGACATTTATTTGCTTAGTGTAGTGAAAATCAAAGACAGAGTGAGTGAATGTCAGTGATGCTTCAGGGCTTTTGTTGGGCGCAAGCTGATGGATGACTGCATTGATAAGTGGCTGTAGTTACACATAAAAGTCACTGACAGTGACTGTGAGACAGTGTGACAGAAAGAAAAGCTAGAATCAAAGAAAACTTTAGTCTATTTAGTCTCATTTACTTTGATTAATACTTGTGTTCTGCCCAAAGGCCTTCCCTAATGAGTTTTGCAGCTGCTGGACTTTTGCAAATTGAATCTTGTTAGTGCACTCAATATGACACCAAAATGTATGTGACCTAGAACAAAGTCAATTTGTGCTAACAAACAAACAAAAAAACATGTCATTTACAGTGTGGTTAGTCATACAACCCTTTATAAGATTAATTCTACTGCTCACTGATTTCTCTTGATTGCTAGGTTTGAAGGAAAAATAGAGTAGAAACAAGTGGCTTCTTTCAATGATAATTGCTTTCCTCCCATTTTTTTTGAGTACATGTAGTGCTCACTTTCATTTCTCTTTCAGTAAGATGGTAAGGGTTATCTATCTCTCTGCATGATAGATAGAGATAGAAGCTGTCTTGCACTTGCTGAAAATGACCAAAATAGTATGACAAAAGCTCCGTTGGAACAACACATATCATCTTGTCAAAACAAAACGTCTTGACTGATTCTTAATTGTAATTCCAGACGAATCCAAACAACTCAAAGGCTACTGCACACTCTAGTAACCATTAGGATAATTGCTCTAAAGTCTGAAATAATAGCCGCTGCAATTTGATGATGACAGTGGCGGGTGGATAAAAATAGGGGAAGCAATTCCCTCATCCCTCTGATATGGATTGGTGCATGTTAGAGGGCACTATGACTGGCACCCCTCTGTTCGGATGGATAGAGTAACCCACCCTGCATATCAGAACACTGTGCCCACCACTTATTTGTAGCTGCGGGGGTGTGAGACACAGTATATTCCCCAACATCAATGGCTTTTAGTGCTTGATATAGAAGCTGGCAGGCTTACAGGTCCTGGGCCGAAGAGAGGCGGCTGGCCCCTGCATGGCCCCTTAACAGTGAAAGTTGACTTCTTCATTCTGCCTAGGAAGGGATGCTATAACCTCCAGCTACCAGCGGAGGCCGCTGAAAGACAATGATGCCAATATTGTTGCCTGAAGGGGTTGATCAAAAATCAATTGGTTGCTTTTTTATTGTTTATCACTGGTGTGTTGATCAAACATACCGACATAATCTTGCTTGGGCATTTTGTCTTGTGACACTTCATTGTGACTTTCAGAAAATTTGTATTTAACTGAAATGAAATAAAGGTATAGTAAAAGTGGCTAATGCTTCCCTGTCAGTTGCAGGATCAGAGAGAATGAGCCCTGACCTGGTGCTGAACAGTGAACAACGTAATGGCAGGTTACAATATTTCATTTGGAGTCCCATCTCTCAGCAGGACCCAGGGAAGGGCTTTTAGTGGTGTTTTCTGGAAGAGGTGAGAGAGATTAAGATCAACTGTGGTGTAATCTCACCTGACAGCATGATGAAAAAAGAAAACAAAAAAAAGGCAGGAGTGTGTTCAGCCTGAGGGCTGCTGTGTACTGGTCTGGTACCGGCTGAGGGCTTATTGAAGAAATCCAAGTGAGCAAAAAGGGTTTTTATCCCATCTTAAACCCTAATCCGTTGCAGACAATAAAGTCTCCCATTAAGCATAAAGCGGGCTTGAGAAGGTTGATTACACCCATGTCAACACATAGAGGCAAGTATGCGCACACAAAGACAAAATGCACCACACATATTCCATCTTCAGTTAGGGATAATATTTGATGGCCTGTCATCTCCCTGTCATTTTTGCACAACCACACAGCCATCAGATTTGTCTATCTCGACAAGAGATCAGTGATAAATCAGTTCTAAAAGTAGTTTATGCTACAGGCTGAGTCAGCTATCAGTTTTCAGATTAAGATGTAACACTTTTTGTTAGGCGTACAGCTTCTGCTGGTAAGGTTTGTCAGTGTGCCTGGGAAAATAGTACGACAATTAAACTCAACAAGACGCTCTTGACACCTTCCTTTTACCATTTGTTGAAAACTGGCATTTAATTGCTCCAATCTGTCATTTCCTGAAGGTGAATGATTCTAATTAAAGCAATGAGGTAGGACAGATAAAGAAGCTGCATGGTCTGTTGCCCTCCCCACCCCGACAATGTTTGATGTCCAAGGCCAAAAACACAAAAACCATTTAACTGAGCAGATCTCTAGCTGTCGAACAGTTTATACTCAAAACCTGTGCAAAAGTGCACGTACACTTGTCATAGCTAAGCAATGAATCATCCATTTCAACATCCCATTGACAAAAACGAGTGAGAGAAGAAGTGTAGATGTTATGATAAGGAGCAGGCTGGGGCGGGCAATAGTGTATACCTTCTGAAAGTTTCTGCTTGACGTCGTTGTAAAAATAGAAATCCCTCCTTCACTTAATGGAAATTATTATATATTAAAAACATGGTAAATTTATTAAGAATCATGTAATAGTAATAACAACCACACCATCAATAGAGCAAATTGTTGGTATTAAAAGGAATGCTGAACAAACGACTCTTCTTGATCTATTCTTAGCAGGTATGTCTTCTGTAATGGTTACCATAAGCACTTGTGCCAGTCCCTACATTCCGACTGTGATTATCAAGAGTATCACTGTGCTTTTGCATGGGGCTGAGTTGTGCTCTTGCAGCTACTCAAACAGTTTATTTGTAGACTATTGACAGGACACTGGCACTTGTCAACAACATGTCAGAGAGACGGCTTCGCTGTCTGTGGAAAGTCACCACGAGGGCTGACATTTCCCTCTGTGAGCTCTCTCTCTTCTTTCTTCTTTCTCCCTCCCTCCGAGGGACTGTCCGGAGACAACTTCAAGCTCTCTGCTGACAAGAGATTTCCTGACAATCACAAAGACAAAGTGAGATGTTTTCCACCCATTCTGAATGATGAGTGACACTTCCCCTTCAATTTTTGTGCCACTCTCTGATATCAGAAAATCTGACATTTGTACGGATCTGATTTGCAGAGAGAAAAAGTGAGAGCAGTTGAAATGAACATGTATAACATAGCATGCAACTAGAGAAAAGAGGTCTACTTGTCTAGACCTGTTGCAATAGCAGCAATCTCACGTTGGAGGATTAGTGATGACCTCAGCGCCTTGCCATGATGTCATGATGAGCCCAAGGCAGTGTCTGGTGTGTGTGTATGTGTGTGTGTCTGTATGCGTGTATAGAGCAACTGTACCTACCTGTATGTGTACTTGTACGCAATACTTATGCTCTCCATGCTTGACTTACATCTAATAGTGAGGTTTATTGTGGATTTGTGCAATTTATATGTTTAAGCAACTGAATGCACATCTTACTATCCTGTAAGATTATAAAAGTAGGCATGACCTACCTTCTTTGTGAGTGTTCTCCTCTTTTTCTTTCCCACACATTTTCATGAAATCCATATTTTCTGACTGACCTTAACGAAAAGAAAACAATCAAGGAACAGCAATAAAAAAAAAATCACTGTCTGCCTTCATGTCTCCTGTGGGCATTGTGTATATGTGTGTGTGTGTGTGTGTCTAGAGATTAAGGAGACAGATCTACCACAGACAACCTGGAACACACATGCAGTGTGTGTTGGTGTGTGACAACCTCCCATTTTCTCTGCTCAGTTTCAGCTTTTTATCTCCCTCTATATCTCCCACGTCTACTCCCATAATCCCCCCTGTGTCCTTCCTGCTGCTCCTTATGAGCCCATGCATTACAATCTGCACCGTTGCTCAGTTGGACTGTAAATTTTGGTTAAGGGGTTGGTTTTATATTTGAAGCCATGAGGATTTTCCCGGCAGATATCATATTCACTTTGGTTGACCCACGACATCCCTCTCGGCCAACCTCCTGCCCTCCTTCGCTCCAGTGTCGGCTCCAGACAAGTGTTACTTTTTATTGATTCTGGCGTCTTGCTGCTTCTGTCTGTGCTGATAAAGAGCAAAAATGTGTGTGTATATGACCGCGCGCATGTGTAAAAGTGAGAGAGATTGCAAGAGAGCGGGGAAAAGTTTATTAGCTGAGCAGTGTTTGATTTAGTTTGATTTTATTACAGCTCATTCTGTGTCTGAATGTGTGTGTGTCTCTGCGTGTACATCATGCTGTCAGGCTCAGTGTGTGCATGTGGTTTTGTGTTGGGAAGCCAGTCAGTATTTAACAACCTCTGAAAAATAATCATTCATTTGAAGGGTTCAGAGGAGCGGTGTAAAACACAGTCTGCGTCATTGGGATCACAGCCCTCTACATGGAGAAGGTCAAAAGCAAAACACTTTTCACAGCAAACACAGGGCAATTAAAAATGAACCTGTCTAAGCAATTACAGGCGGTCGATAATGGTACAACCAACGGGACTGAGAAGCACATAAGAGCTCACTAAAAACTCAGTGATTCAAAAGAATAATCTTTCTCCTCTTTTTGTGTTTCCACTGGACTTTATTGCAGTTCTCTGTTTCTGTCATCTGACGCACTGTCTCTGCTCTTCCAGGCTCCTCATCACTACGTGCCTACCCTCTCCTCTCAGTGATCACACGGCAGCCCCCCCACCACCCCCAGGTGTCATCTCAGGGAGGGGTCCCCTCGCACCTGCCCTTGCTCTCCCCGCAGCATCTGCGAGGCTCCGAGCCCTCGCCCAGCCAGACGCCCCTCAGCATCAGCAGCGAGTCAGACACGGAGCGCAGCACGCCCCGCCTGAAGAAGCCGCGTCGCAGCCGCACCATCTTCACTGAGCTGCAGCTGATGGGCCTGGAGAAGAAGTTCCAGAAGCAGAAGTACTTGTCCACACCTGATAGGTCAGTGCAGTTGAGAATCTCATGTCTGATTGGATGGGTTGAGGTAGATCAGGATGGCAGTAAACACATGCATGCACACACACAAACCACATAAAAGCATTTAAATAAAAAAAGGTAAATCATGTCTGCTACCCTCATAGCTACCAAAAATGATTTTGTGACTAGGTTACATAAAATAAAGCAAACCACTGATAAGTTAAAGGTAACTAATAGGCCTCTCTATTTTCACAGATGTAAAAAAGCGACCAGAGTCATAAAAGTGTCACTCATTTTGATAACGTACATACCTGGCATACAGCACAGTCGAAAGTACAGTACATGCACGCAGACGCACGCACATTCACAAAGCCACAACTGCAATTATCAAGCAGTGGTTAACCTAACATCATAATTTTTGATTTATCCTGTGGGGAATGTCTCATGTAATGTGAATTTGTCTAAGCCAGAGCATTACCTCAGCATTCTAGTTGAGACAAGAGTAACGTTTTAACCCTGAGCTTTCCAACTGCAAAAAAAAAAAGCACCAACAAAGAAACACTGCCTTGTTCAAGAAAAGAGGGACAGTGGCCAACACAAGCAAACATAAATGTAATACACTGATTTACTGCCAATCATTTCACACATGTGCAGGTGTATATAAAGAACATTTTGCTTTCTACAATCAGATGAAGTAATCTACATGTTAATATCTGTGTCTTAAGTTCCACTCTGCGGGTCATTTTTGGGACCTGACATGAGGTTAGACTATATTTTCCAGTTTTATTGTACGCCTCGCTTTTATATTTGGCCTGCGGGCTATTTTTCCATTATAACTCAGAATAGTATTAAACCATATATGATGTAAAAAGCTCTCTTTCACATGCGCAGTAGGAATTTCAAACTGCTTGTGAACCTTTGCATTAAGTAGAGATTGGATGTTTGTACCCTCTTACTCATATTTTTACATATTGAAAGTAAATCAGTGATCATTGAAAACCTAAACAACTGGCTTCCTGTACAGTATGTTTATGCATTTAGACATGCAAAATTTCCACACAGATGTCTCAAACATTGTATCCTCTTTGCAGTGCGTCTGCTTACCACATCTAACCTAATACATTAGCATATTTGAAGTAAACCAGATTTATTTGTCATTCCATTTACATCCAATCCGTGGGGAAAACTCCCACGATGCATTATTAAATATATCACATCTTGACTTGCCTGGAGCTGTTGGAAAGATGCCATGCCTCATCTTGAAGCAGAAGCCCCGAGGCTGAGCACAACTCAGTGATCAAAACCAACCACCCTAACAGATTGCTGTGCCAAAATACTGTGTCCTGTCAAAATATCCAATTCTGACACTGTGTTGAAAATTAATTAAATACCCAGCTGGCGGAAAAACATCAACAGAGAAAATCCCCCTTCAAAGCCCCACATCAAAGGTGTGGCGTGCTCCTCACTTTGGTTTGTTGTGATCCAAAGATAACTGAACTTTTCTCTCCCTCTTTTTGGCTTGGAACCTCTGCGGTCTTGAATTGAGTTTAAGAGAGGGGGCGGGAGGAACCAAAACCGAAAATATCCCTGAAAAAATCTTTTAATTATTTATAGCAGATTGCAATAATGATTTTATGCACCGTCCAATTATGATAATTAGAGCCTTTATAATCCTCACTGTCATCATCATCATTATTGTTTCAGTTACACCCAAGATTCCCCTGTAAAAGGTGTGAGAATGGAACAAAATGGCGCTCTTACAGTAGCCCGGAGGGAGTAACTCAAATACTGTCTCTATTGCTGTGAGTGTGTGGTTTCTCTCCATTGAGAACTAATGACCATAAATAGGTGTGGTGTTTTCCTTTTCTGCAATTACTTTTCCTTGCCTCTAGTTGTTGAACTGCTGTAGACTGCGGCACGTATGCTAGTGAAGTCTGACAGACAGCTTGATTGTCTGTGTGTCTGGTGTTTTTTGAGACACACACACACAAAACCACACACACACCCTTTATGTAAGGTTTAAGGTTATGCAGACAATCCCATGAATCTCAGGGGCTTGTTTTTGCTCTGCTTTTTAGATTCTGTTCATGCCTGTTCTCTTTCTCGGCTTCCACTTTCACCATCAAATGAAAGTCAGTTCCTTTCATTGACGGGTGGTGGGGGTGAGAATCCCTTCATCTGACTCTTTAAGACTTTGAGAAGAGCAGGGAAGAGGAAATCTCGTTTTAAAAAACCCAGATAACTGCGCCTTTCCTTCACAAACGGATGCCTTGTTCACTTTATCTGTCCCTTCCTGAGGTATCACATTACGCACCAACCAATAGCCCTATTAGTCATGGATCAACACATGTGGTGGATGCATTCAGTATTTCAACAGCCCCAATCGTCCTGCTACAAGTGCTGTGATTGGATTACTGATCTTGGTACAGATGTTTCGAACAGTGTTTCCTGACCTGCAGGTGCACAGTTTCAAACTCAGGCTAATAGCAAATCAGCTTTGATGTGAGATTCAAAGACAGAGTTAACAGTATGAGAGAGGTTTTATACTGTACTTAGGCGTGCAATGCTGGCAACTTCTAGGCTGAAGGCTGCATTATATACTTGGTGGAAAGGTAAAAGCCATGATTAGTGTAATTATATGTTATAATTTATATATTTTCCTGTCAGTGGGAGAAACAGACAAGAAAAGAGACTGATTCTACCTGGTGCTTTTCCAGTTTACAGCATATGAAATGTCCATCTGATGTGCAGTTTGTTTTGTTTGTGATTTTGCAGGTTAGACCTGGCCCAGTCACTTGGTCTCACACAGCTCCAGGTGAAGACTTGGTATCAAAACCGGCGCATGAAGTGGAAGAAAATGGTAAGAGGCAACAATAATTGGAAGGACGTAGGGGAAAAAATAGATTTAGATTAGATTTTTACAGATGACTAATTGTTTCATGTAATGCTTATTTGCACTATAATGGTAAGAGAAGCCAATACTAGGCAGCAGTATGGCAGGAGGAAAGGGTGTGGTGTGAGGTGTGACTGATGATGACAGCAGTGAGAGCAAACACTTTTGTAGAAGGGTCAACAACTCAGAGAACAAAAAAAGACCTGAAATCGTTAAAGATGAATGAGTGCACAAGGGGCAGCCAGAAGCAATACATCTTCTCTTAATTACTATAATAGCAAGCGTTACCTTCGACTGCTGCTGCCATTTATTACCAGAGGAGTCCACTAAGATGGTCTGTGTGTTATTCTAGGTGCTCAAAGGAGGTCACGAGGCCCCGACTAAGCCCAAGGGAAGACCCAAGAAGAACTCCATTCCCACCACGGAGGAAATAGAAGCTGAAGAGCGAAGGATGAAGATGGAGGCAGAGGAGAGGATGAAGAGGGCGGCCGAGAAAGTGGCGCTGGCTCAGGGAGGAGAGGCATCTCAGCTTGAACCTGAAGATCTCAGTTCAGAAACTCACAATGCAGCCGCTGCGATGGAGGGATCCGAGCGAGAGCTGCCGCTACTGATGCAGTCAGAGACTCACGCAGCCAGCTAAGCAAGAACAACACAACCAAAGACTAATGCCAACCTGAAAACAAATAGTGCCTCAGGATCACTGTAAAAAGCCTGTGTGGTGTTTAGAGCCATTTGCTTTAGGAATTTGGCTGGAAACATATTGGTGGCATCCAATCTTTACCAAATGTAGCCTTTTATTTTTTGTGTATTGGAAAAGTGTACCATACAAAGAGCTAAAGTGCGTAGACACTGATTGTACTGGTAAAAATGTGGCCTTTAAATACTGTATTTGAGCAGGTCGCTGGTATAAGGAGTGTAAATCTGTCAAATCCAAGCAGGTCAGTCAAAGCAAAACACGTCTCATGCATCAATTTACTGTGCATTATAACCATGAAACATCACACACACCACTGATCCTCCAAGCTGCCTCACATAATGCATGTGCCAAAATATCAAGATTTGCCTTACTGTATTGTCTCTATGTCTCTATGTATTATAAATCACTTCACTGCCAAAAACTATACTATCAAATGGCTACAGTGCCTTGTCGGTCTCAGAGGAAAGCTTTTAAAGTGCTGATAAAATAACTATCAAATGCAAGTATATTTTTTACAGTGATTTTCGATTACAAGTGCTGTTTTTGGAGACAGAGTTTAGAAAAGAACACAATGCATAGATTGGAGTTCTTCTACAGCTTTAAGGCGCAAATGTGTTAATTATTTGGTCGTTAAAGCTTGCATTTTTATTTTTTCAATCTGAAAATCAATATTTCTGCCAAGCCATACTCTGTATTATACTGTAGAAATGTGTATAAAGTATAAAATATATGGTCTTTCGGATATATATGTAAAACAGTATTTTTAACTGCTGTTTTAAATTGGATTAAAATAGTTTGTATGTATAATGTTATTGCCGTCCCTGATCTTTTTTCTTCTTTCATGGGAGTCGGGATGACTCTGCTTTCTGCCATGAGGCCAGTAAGACTCTTTAAGCTGTCAGAGATTCTCTGAGGGAGTAAATCATAGCCTGTGCCAAAGATGCACGGCAAAGGCTGAACATTTAAAATCTCAAAGACGTTTTCAGCCTGCAGGCTTTGCATGAGTACCCCAATCAGTATGTTCGACTTGCATTAACATAACACTGTCTTCAACTGCCTGTTACTGACTTCTCTATACCCTTCCGAAAATGCCTTCTACCCTTTCAAAGATTTGTAATTAAAGAGTTTCACTTTTTGAATTATACAGATTTATTTTTATTTGTTATTGTTTCATATGGAAAGTGCAGTATTTTTCTGATGTAAATAATGCTTGTTTGGTAAGCTTGTTTGCAGTTTTTTTTAGGTTTGTGTACAATCATTTTTACTATATACAAGAGTGTGTTTATGTATTTAAATGCACTTAATAAAATAGCAGTCATTTAAATTCTACTTGGTATTTATTATTTGGTGCAATTGCTTTGAGCTTTGGTCGATACACTCCTGTTTCTAATGTATATTCTCATCACTGGATTAAACCTCAAATGTCAAATGCATCACACTGATTTTGCTACTCTGCATATGCAACACATTTTTGCTTGTTTGTTTTGGTGTGTGTCTAATGATTACAGTCCAACAACAAATTAAAGTCACTGACAGGATCCTTTACTATAACTCTCCAAGTGATTTTCAGATGTACTGTCACGTCATGCTAAGTGTGTGTAAATCAAACAGTTACAGTAGCCCTGGCAGGTTGAAGTTCAAGCAGATCCATTACTGAGGAAGCTTTTGAAGGCGTATTAGCCGTAGTCAAAGTTTGCCATAAATCACATTCAAGAGAACAAAGCATTTAAGCACTCTGTATTGTGACATTTATCATCTTTATCTGTACAGCAAACAAGATGGCCTATAGTACACCTAAGGGCTCCTCTGTGACCCTGAGCGAGCGAAGAACAGCCTAAAGTGTATTTTTAGTGCCTGATACCGGACATGGATGGTTTCTAAAGCAAACAGCACAAGTTAGCGTTGAGTAATGTGTACTGTGCTTTAACGCCTTATGTAAACATTCTAAGTATGCTTCATTTGTGTGTGCATTCAACAGCAGAAGCCCCCACACTTCTTGGAAGTATGATTGAACATTTTACTACTATGCAGGCTTAGTAAATACACGTCAAGTTTGTCAGAACTGTTTTCTACGTTGTTCTGTGCTATATTGGTGAAGTATAGGACTTTGAGCAGCAAACCTTTCCTTATATATCATTTTCTCATTAAAAACCTGTGCAATACATACTAGTTGAAGTAGAATTTTTGTTAATTATTTTTATTTCTTTTTAATCTATTTCTGAGTTTCTGTTTCAGCCTAATTAGCAGCATAACTATAATTACAGCATAATTAGTGAATGTGATTTCAACAAATGTGAATATGAACATATAAGAATTGGATTTAATTTACATTTACTGTCAGGAACAATGCACAATGATTATAATTTTACAAATTAAGGATTCAACAGTATACATTTTGTAACTGAAATATGTACAATGTGTAAAATAAGCCTTGAAAAGTGTGTCAAACAAACAAAAAGTCCTACAAACAATGCAAGGCTTTCAATGTTGTCATATTACTCATTAACCTTAAATTGTCCCCACTGTTTAAACTATACTGAATAACTGCTTACAACTGCCTGGTTAAAGGCATGAGGAACACAACTTGTGTTATGACAATGAGAAGTTATTCTGACAACTGCTAGCTTATATAGTAGCTATTTGTTTTGAATAAACTTTGATTATTCGGAGCTGGGCTTGTCGCTTGCCAGATTTATGCAGAATGAGCTGTGCCTCGCCAACTGCTTAAACTAAAATAACTTTTGGATTAGATACACTGTCTCTGTGTTAATTGCAATGAACAAGTGCAAACATTTTCCTATTAAACATCCCAGTGAAAACAGAGGCATTGGCTGGCAGGCAGGGTGGCAGGTCTGCGAGGAACTGCACTTCGCAAGTCTCCACAGGCTGGTGAGCTCCTCTGGGCTAATTGTTGTGTGGCGAGGTGAAAAACAGCCGGCCTAATTGGAGAACCTGTTATTTTCTCACAGGTCCAAGTTCAGCTGCAGGTCACAGGAGTGGAGGGGTGTCAACCCGAGCCAGCCCCTCCCCCGCACCCACTAAGACATCCGTCGCGCACCTTCACCTGTCAGCTTAGTGTACGCTCAGGTAGTTAGCGGGGGCTTATGCGAGATGGGGAGTGGGCGTAACTCACGTTGTTTCACCCTCATTTCTGTCATGACAGAGGAAGTTATTTCTAAATGTTGAGTGCAGGAGTAACAGCAGTGCTTACCTAAGTCAATAAAGGTGGATGCTGTCTACAACATGCACAATGCTCCCCTTTGTCTTCCGTAACAGTGGAAGAGAAGCAGTCATCATCGGCAGTGGCATGAGGATCGCCTCCTCTCTCAGAAGCATGTGTAAGGCATGTGGCTGACTGTTGCTTTTGCTAGCAATCTGTTGAGCAAGATGGGAGTTAAAGCATTGCATTGATTGTGTAATATTTGCATTTATGTCACATATTATTTACAAATCAAACAGACATTAACCATTATAATGCAGTGCATTATTGTGTCAAACTTCCACTTGCTTATTTTTTAAAAATATTGTACTGTCATATTTTGTTTTGTCTTGCTCAAAAACAACGTATTGATTTGTTTAAACCCCAAATGCTTAATAGCAGTGTTGTAAACATAAACTGAGGGCTATGACTTACAAAGACTGTCAAAATACAAATGCAGATCCCACTGTTCTGGTTGCATAAAAAAGTCAACCTTTTCACTCAGATTTTATCCATATGGTGGTGTGTTCTTATTACTATGGACAATTGTCAACAACAAATTGCTTACAGTATTGCAATATATCACAATAGATTGAACCATAAGCCCTGTATTGTGATACGTATGGTATCGCCAGATTCTTCCCAATACACAACCCGACTTGCATGTGGCTCGGATTAATTCTTCGCAAATATGGAAACATGACAAACCATTGCCAAAGTAGAAATATGTGTGCAGAATGAATACAAAAAATATATAACATTCCTTTGAACCTGAGTAAATTGCATATCAATGTTGTCATGCGAAAGCATTGTTACTACACTTTTTATTTTTTAACATAAGTACCTTCGGCCTAAGAAGTCTTATCAAAACTGACGAGTTTCAAGACAAACTGTTGTCAACCAGTAGTGATGAAGATGACATACAGTGCAGCAAAAATCATTTTATCTTTCGCTACAGCAGTCACAAAATAAACACTAGAAAGACTGTGCTCGAGTATGTGTGCTTGCACTTGATTGGCCTCTGCAGTGCCTTACTAGATGACCCTGCATTGTGCCAGTACAAACGTTGGGCCCGGTTCAAGTTTCTTTGCCAAACAACCTTTCATTTGTTAGATGGACACCGCATGAATTGCCCCATAGCTAACTGAGCGGTCCCATTCAAGTGAATGAGAAGGCATTTTTTCAAGCACATTTTTTTTTTGCTGTAATTTATGAACACTACCTTAGGCTCTAGGGATATCCCTCATTAACTTTGTGAATCTTTTTGTAATTCAATTTAAGATCTGACATGTATAGGGATATCCTTGACACTTCTGCTACACTACACTAAACTAGAATGATTCATTGTGTGAATCATTCATTCAGTGAAGAGCACTGCTATGACACTATGCTCAGACTACGCCGTTTGTATTTGAGATTGCTTTGTTATTTCTACACCTTTAATTTTGTAAAAATGTAAAAGAAACCTTAAGATACAGTTAAACTCATATTAAAAATAGGAAAAAAATCCCTCTATTAACCCACAAGTTGTTTGCTAACAATTGCAGAAAAATGTCCCAAGATTTCTGAAGTAAAACTACCTTACATGTAAACATACTACTAACTTATTCTAAATGTATGGAACTCAATGAAACTTTTCAAGCTTGCCATTCAGTCCTGCTTATTTCCTTTTCAAAGCCATTATCTAAGAGTAGAAGTGTAACAACTAAAACTATAAATAAATTATAAAATGAAATTATAAAAAAATGTTTAAATGATTTCCAAAGAGCAACATGTCTGTGCAAGGTCTTCCATCAATTTAGATAGTGACAGGTTTTTTTCCTACAATAAACAAAAATTTGAATTGGGAAGCAACCCAAAGAAGCATTCAAGTGTTAGCAGGACCTTATGAATCAGATTTTCTTTGAATCACTTCTGTCATTTTACACAATCATCCTTAACACAGATGCTTTAGGACTAAGTGCCCAAATCATTTCTCAGTGCATCCCCTGTTGATGTACTGTGGGATCTTTCAGCCTAATGTATTTAGTGCAATAATTACAGTGCTGCCCGCCTCCCTGTCTTCTTTCGATAGCTCATCCTCTGGTCAACATGTCTGGGAGACGACGACGCTGCCTCCCACCTCTAGGCTCTCAAGCTCATAAATCAACCAGTGAGTGTGTGTGTGTGTGTGTGTGTGTGTGTGTGTGTGTGTGTGTGTTTGTGTGTGTGTGTGTGTCTGCATGCATGTTTTTGCTGCAGGGATATTGAGGGGCTTGTTATGGAAGTCATGATCACTGGCTCAGGGGTGTATATCCGCCCGCTGAGGAGATGGGCGGTAATAGACCTGTCAGTTGAGTTTTACCCAGGAGCTACTGTGCACCGCAATGTCCAAATCACAGCTGACTTCCCCAAACCCCACAGACCTCCACGAAGATCCCTGTCAGTAATGACTTAACCCCTATACTGGTAACAGTCTACAGATGTGTGAATTTTGGGTATCAGTGTATTTGCAGGTCTTAGTTGCAGACCATTTTCAATTGCATGTTTACAGTTTTGTTCTTTTCTTTTTTTAATGAAAATAATCTAGCTCCAAGGTCCACTTACTAATGATTAGGAGCTTCCAAGCCCAGTGTCCCTAAGAGTTGCTTCGCAGTGGAGTGCAAGACAACCACAAAAGCCTTCCAACATGTTACATTCTGAACCTCTGTTGTTGAAGTGAAAATAAATGTGAAGGTTAAAATTACTACACAAATGTTCAATGAATTATCAAAGCATTTTACTTTCAGTTTCACCTCCAAATAAGTGGTTTGTTTAACTTTATTGGGAATTTTGTCCGAAACTTTTGACATCATCTGACTCATTGTATTTGTTGTGCTGGTGTTGCTCTCCAGATATCAGCAGTAAATGTATCACGCTGAAAGATTGCAGTGATTTTCTGTGATAGAAGTCAACCCGACACCCAACTCTTGTGCAAGTTTTTCAGTTATAAAACTTTCCTGTGGTACACAATACCTGTGCTTCCAGACAATATTTACAAAATGCAAAAAAACTGCAACAACTGCATAGAAAAATCCAAAGTGAGACAAGGACCATGTGGGTGGTGGGTACTGTCAGAGTTTCTCACTGTGATCATAACTCATTCT